GAGCCCTTTATAGAAGGGACAGGGGACTGCTTACCCTTCACTGGGGAGGACAGGTTGGGGGTTGCTAAGCAGGATGGGGGTGGGTGCCCCCTACTCCTTGCTGGGAAGGGCAGCTTGCAGCAGGACCAGGCCTGGGGGAACTGGGATGTGGGGAGGGACATGCTCACGCCTCGCTGGTGACCGATGAGTTCCGGGACATGGTCTTGGGTGACATGTCATAGTCACTGTCTGAGCGGTACAGGAAGGATTCCCGGCGCTGGCTGGTGGCCGCCCCAGCGTGGAGCACAAGTCCTGGGCTCGCCTGCAAGTCCAGGGGGCTTCGGCCGGGAGATGGTGTCGGTCCATTTTCTGCATCGAAGCTGCAGGGGATGGGTGAGAAGAGGGGTCAGGAGGCTGAAACGGTGTTAAGGAGGTCAAGAGGAATGAGGAGGCCAGGCATGGTGGCTCACACCTGTAACGCCTGTAATCCCAACCCTTTGAGAGGCTAAGGTGGGTGGATCAGTTGAGGTCAGGAGTTTGAGACCAGCCTGGCCAACATGATGAAACCCCATCTCTGCTAAAAATACAAAAATTAGCCAGGTGTGGTGGCGGGTACCTGTAATCCCAGTTACTTGAGAGGCTGAGGCAGGAGAATTGCTTGAACCCTGGAAGTGGAGGTGGCAGTGAGCTGAGATTGCAGCACTGTACTCCAGCCTGGGTGACACAGCAAGACTCCATCTCAAAAAGAAGAAAAGAAGAGGAAAGAAGAAACCAAGGGAATTCCTGGCAGAGATTCAGGTGGAGAATTTTTTTTTTTTTTTTTTTGACACATGGTCTCTCTTTGTGGCCCAGGCTAGAGTAGTGCAGTGGCACGATGTCGGCTCACGGCAACCTCCGCCTCCTGGGTTCAAATGATTCTTGTGCCTCAGCCTCCTGAGTAGCTGGGATTACAGGCACCCGCCACCACACCTGGCTAATTTTAGTATTTTTAGTCGAGTCAGGATTTCACCATGCTGGCCAGGGTGGTCTTAAACTCCTGGCCTCATGTGATCCACCTCCTCAGCCTCCCAAACTGTTGGGATTACAGGTGTGAGCCACCACGCCTGGCCAAGTGGAGGATGTTAAAGAAAGACACATAGGAGGCAGCAGCAACGCAGAGGAAATGGGAGTGAATCGAGAGCTTAGTGACCAACATGAGCCTCCTCGACAAGCCCAAGAGTGAGATGACCCCAGAGGAGCTGCAGATGTGAGAGGAGGAGGAATTTAATACAGGTCCACTCTGTGCTCACTCAGTACATCAAGAACAACACCCAAGTGCTCATCAACTGCCGCAACAATAAGAAACTCCTGGGCCACGTGAAGGCCTTCGATAGGCACAGCAACATGGTGCTGCAGAACATGAAGGAGATGTGGACTGAGGTACCCAAGAGTGGCAAGGGCAAGAAGAAGTCCAAGCCAATCAGCAAAGACCGCTACATCTCCAAGATGTTCCTGCGCGGGGACTCGGTCGTTGCAGTCCTTCAGAACCTGCTCATCGCCAGCAGGTAGGAGCCACCTATCCCTGTCAGTCAACAGAACTCACTCCCCTGTCCTACGGAGACCGCTGCCGCTGGTGTTGAGAATAATAAAGCTCTGTTTTTTT